CAGTTTTCGGGGAACATAACTAGGAAAAAGCCAACAGCAATTAGAATAACGCCAGCTAATTTCATTCCCGCGAAAGTAGCGCCATAGAGAACAACATCCAAAGCTGAAAGACGAATTGGAAATGAGTTACATTTACATTAACATTACATTACATTACATTAAAAGAAATGTATTTAGAAATGTCCAGAATGCTAGCGCATCGCATTGTACAGTAAGGACCTAAGAGTATCTAAACACAATTACGGCGCACGACGGCTACCGTCAGTTGACATTTTGATTTAAAAATAAATAAATATGTTTTCAGTACGTGCGGGTATGTATGTAGATTCTTTGGAAATAAAAATGTATGAAAACATTGCCAAACTTGTGAAAATAATAAAAATTACTACAATCAACATTGTGCCGTCCCCGCTGAGCGGGAATATAGAAATAATTTTAAATCAACCAAAAAACGTCGGCGGTAAAAACGCTGCCTCCGCAATTATGAGCTAATCCATAGCCCTTTGCGAGTTCTTATTTTGACAGCGGTTAAAGCTTAAACAGACGGCAGCGTTGATCCGGATTAACTCGGACTTAATCCGGATCAACTGCAGCTAATTCCCGAGTTGATCTGGATCAATGCTGCCGTCTGTTTACGCTTTTAATCGTCGACCGCTTTACCGTCGTCCGCTGCAAATCTGGGTAGAGCTTGTGTGGTTTCAAATCAGGAAAATCTATACATACATATGTATAATACAGTAAATATATCACTAGGGGTGTAGCGAGAACATAAAAGTAAAATAGAACTAGAACTAAAACCGTTACTTTTCATGCAAAACTTTTTTTATTTTTGAAAGCAATGGAAAAGTTGTTGTCTTTTTTAAATTTTAAACCCAGAAAAAAGTTTGTTTCATTAATACGTAGGATATTTTAGAATAAAGTATAAAAATATTCTTAAAATTCTCTTTCTAAAAAATATTCATTTGGCCTATAGCTGTAACGTATGCCACAAAAAATAAAACTACTCTTTTTCATCATACACTTTTTGGGTCAACGGGTATTTCCGACCAAGGTCTTAGATTTTTTTTTTTAAATTTCGACCTTATCTATCTAAAACACTAATAAAATAATTTTATCCAACTAGCTTCTTCTAGTCGCCACACTGTGCAGCGTTCTGAGTTTTGGAAATTGGAGTGTTCTTAAAAAATATAACTACTCAGAGCGAGAGAGAGGGGTGCATTCTAAAATGTCAAAATGCAAGGCAACAGTCTCTTTTATTTCTTAACCGCACTAGACGAAAAAGCCTAACTAGCGCAACCTATTTGAAAACTATCATATAACCGTGGTTGCGCACATTTGGCATTACAATCTACTGAGGTTTAGAAATAAAAGACACTGCTGTTTGTATATTGACGTTTTGGAATAAACCCCTCTCTCTGGTAAAAAAAAATTGCATATTCCATCGCTGGCTCTCTAATCTTCAAATTTTTGTGGAGTTTTGGGAATATGGTAGAAATGTTGCAGCAGGGGGTCCACCGAAACCAGTAAATTTTTGAAAGTGGTTCAGAGACATTTTTAGTATGTAGTACCGAATCGTTTAAATTGCAAATAAATTACAGCAACATTTGTACTAAAAACTCAAAGCAATTTCGCATTGTTAATTAATGTACAACTACTCTTTAGAATTACATATGTATGTATATTGTAGCAAAAACAAAAAACAAATACAATTACGTTCCTAATAGATACCCCCAACGCAACT